TGTCTTTCTGTAGTCAGTTTGGGTTTCATTTACATTTTATAGATGAGACAGCTGAGGTCTCAGAGGCAAAGCGACTTGCCCGAGCTCCTAAACTTGGGAGGGAGACAGGAAGATTGAATGTAGAGAGTACCAAACTGGGAGGTAGACACCCAAGGCCCAGTCCCCACTATGCTGCTAACTGAGCGTGTAAGCTTAGAAAATTTCATTTGCCTCATTGCTCCTCACCACCATATATAATTTTAAAAAGGGAAGGGGAAGGTCGTTAGGTAGACATCTAAGGTCCTTTCCAGGTCTAAAACCCATGATTTCTCTTTTTCTTTTTTAAAGATTTTATGTTTTCCTTTTTCTCCCCAAAGCTCCCCGGTACATAGTTGTGGGTCCTTCTAGTTGTGCCATGTGGGACGCCGCCTCAGCGTGGCCTGACAAGTGGTGCCGTGTCCACACCCAGGATTCGAACTAGCGAAACCCTGTGCCGCCCAAGCGGAGTGCGCAAACTTAACCACTCAGCCACAGGGTCAGCCCCTAAACCCATGATTTCTAAGACACAAAAGAGAAGACTAGAAACAGGGTCTTCCTCTTCCTCCTTCCCCCTTGCCCTCTCTTCCTCCTCCTTCTCCTTGTGACATCAAACGTAAGATAGAAGAGCCCTTTCATTTTTTTTATTGAACTCCAGATTACTTTGAAACTGTGCATGTCGGAACCTTGATGAATGGATCAGGGCCAGTGAATAACCGTCAGTATTTAAAACCCAAACAGGATTTATTTTTAATTGTTTTTCTGAAAAAGCCCCCACCATGGCAATTGCTTGGCATTCTGCTGGCTTTGCTCTCCAAATGTTTTAACCCGTCATTCCAGGGAGCCTAGATTGGCTAAACTGTCCTTCCTGGCATGTGTGGGTTGGGGGAGGTAACTGCGAGGCAATAGATGTCATGGAAACAGTGGAATCAGTGGCCCTTGGAAATGACGAGTCTCATTGCCCTCCCCCGGTCCTGTTTGACTTCCAATGCATTCATGCACAGACTGGTTTTTGAGTGACTTGGCTGATAATCCTATGTATTTATACAGCATTTGTCTTTAAGGAGATCATAGAACTTGACAGACATGACCTCATTTATGAGCCTGGCATTCCTAAGGCAGAGAGTGGGCCAAGAGAATTCTTATTTTATGGTGTTTTGTTACAGAGAATGCACTTGAGATCCAGAAAGAGCAGGTGACTTGTTCAAAGCAACATTGAAATTCAGGGTTTCCTTCAACCTTTTCTCATCATAGCAGCGTGGTCAACTGTACCATCAAGAGGTCATATGAGATATGGATCATTAAATACTCTAGTAGGGAGTGGACATGGTTGTTTTTGCTGCGTAGGACTCTTCCCTGTTTTTGGTAACTACCTCAAATTTCCAAAGGAATATGACTATCTCACACTCAGTCCATTTGGGTCAGAAAATATGACCTTGGCCTGATTAAGTGGAGTAATTTTATCCCCTGATTACTATGACTGGTACATGAATCATGCTGTTCTGATCAGATATAAGCCACATTCTTCAAGATCAGCTTCATCTGATGAAGTGTTAGGAACTTATGTCCTAACTTTCCTCCATATATTCCCTGTATTCTAACGTGCTTAACTACTTGCTTGCTCCCAGATCATTCCTTATTTTCATGTCTCTGTGTCTTTACATATGTTCCCTATGAGTGGAATAATCCCCCCCCCCCCTTTTTATTTTGAGGAAGATTAGCTCTGAGCTAACATCTGCTGCCAATCCTCCTCTTTTTGCTGAGGAAGACTGGCCCTGAGCTAACATCTGTGCCCATCTTCCTCTAGTTTATATGTGGGACACCTGCCACAGCATGGCTTGCTAAGCGGTGCCATGTCTGCACCCGGGATCTGTACTGGCGAACCCCAGGCCACCGAAGCAGAACGTGCGAACTTAACCGCTGTGCCACTGGGCTGGCCCCTAATTCCCTCTTTCCTGACTGCCTGGAGGAAAGCCCTCCAATGCATCCTTCAATTTGCCCCTCTGAAGCCGTGTCATCATCAAGTTGTCCCTAACCTCCCCAGGCGAGAAAGCCTTCCTCCTTTATCGCTCAGCACCATTGTTTGGTGTAACTGCTCTTGCTCTTTGCTACCATCTCATTCCTCTGTGTTTCTCAGCCTGGAGCAAACATGAGTGCAATCCAACGAAAACATTTTGTGTGCCCATGATGCGTTCCTCTCATGCCCTGCAGAACTAAGAGGCATCCAACTCGCTTGCCTTCCACAGACAGGAATAGATTTCACCCCCCTCCCGCTGCAAGGATTCTTCTTTTACCCTATCTCCAAATTCATCCCTGTTGGAAACGCATGCTGTATTTTTTCAAGAAGGTGCTCAATAATGTCTGCTTGAACTGAATTGAACATTTCATCTTGTTGAGGTCAGGCCAACAGCTTCATCTGTCAGAGTCTTTGGAATTCATATTTGTTATCAACTTGCTCATTATCCTTCTTAGCTTTGCATAATACTTATCTGCATATGTGTCTTATCTCCCAAATCCTCTCCTCTTAGACTGTCATCTCTTTGAAGACAGGGACTATGTCTTCTACTTAATACCCTTCAGTATGTAGCTTAGTACAGTGCTGGGCACATAGGATGTCCTCCAAACATGTTTGCTAAGTGATTAGTGAGTGAATGAATGAATGATATTATTTTCCTTCCTGATCAGAGGTAGACATCTGTGAATATAGATACAGCTTGGCAAGAGAGGTCACTTCTCAGCTTACCATCCTTTAAGGTCACTAGAGGAGAGGGGACAGGAAAGGGAGAGAAAGCAGTGGGTGGTCCAGGGAGAAGATTTATCTTTCCTCACAATATTCTGATCCCCATGCCTTGTGTGTCTAGCATGAAATTCCTTAGAGTTTCTGGACTTGGATGGGGAATGTTCCACTTCAGTGATGCAGGTTGAACCTTATTTTTATACTATCTCGTCATTTCAGTAGGAATTGGGGACAAGGAGTCAAATGTGTCTTCTCAGTCCAACATCCGTCTCTGTGCTGCCTTCTCTGACCCCCACTGAAGAGTCCAAGCTGCCCTCCTCCTCCCCACACTCCCCGTGCCCATTCCCTGCTTTGCTTTTTCTCTGTAGCAGGCATCACCGTCTGACATACTATAGATTTTGTTCTTTTGTTAGTTTACTCTTTGTCTCCCTATATCAGTAGGGAGGCATAAGGCATATATGTTATTTGAACAGGAAAAATTTAATATAAAGAATTGTAAACTAGGAGAAGGTAATTAACTATTAAAAGAAGAGGTTTCACAAAGGGGTCCGGAAGAAGCAGGTGCAGAAAAGCAATTTCTCCCTCTAAGCTGCGGGGGAGTGGACAGGAAGGAACTGAGGACTCAGGGAGCAGCCCCCAGCCCCTTCCAGGCCCATCCCCAGGCTTGGGTTCAAGCGCTCCCAGGAGGGTGTGGCTATCTAGGACCGGCCACACAATATGGAGACTCAGTGAAAATGAAAACGTTGAAAATGTCTTGTACAGGGACATTGTCCAAAAATTAATAAGAATTTCAAGACAGTGACAGCAGAACATGAAACCAAATGCGGGGCTCTTCTCAGTGCCAGGCCCCATATGATTGACTGCATAACTGTCAGCTTAGTGGCTGCCTCAGGATTGCATAGCCTGCTCGTGGCAGAGAACTTTGCCCAAGGGTGCAAGCTGGCCTGGATCTGTGGCCCGAGAGTATGAGAGTGTGGACTGGCCTGGGCTGCTGTGCTGGGCAGAGATGGCCAGTGGAGTAGGGATGGCGTGGCTTAAGGATGCAGCCAGAGCCTTGATAGCTTACTGACTTTCAGTGTTAGAGAAACCACAACTTACACATTTTCTATTTTGTTGTTACAAATATATATTTTTCAAGTTAGAATGATAAAATATTTTATTTACATATATGTTATCTGCGTTTATAATCTTAAATATATCTAACCATATGCACAAATGTTTGTGGCAGTCCTGGAAGGGAGAGACAGAAGGTATAGCCTCCTGGAAAAGATGGTGTGAGATAGGATTGAGGCTGCAAAGAGAACAATTAGTGTGAGGAGGAGGAAAGACTCCTCTTCTTTTCTTTTTTGCTGAGGAAGATTAGCCCTGAGCTAACATTTGTACCAATCTTCCTCCACTTTATATGTGGGTTGCCACCACAGTGTGGCTGACCAGTGGTGTAGGTCCACGCCTGGGATCCAAAACCACAAACCAGGGCCACCAAAGCAGAGCACACTGAACTTAACCTCTATGCCAAGGGCCTGGATCCTCCTCCTCTTTTTTTTTTTAAGTTGTGGTAAAATACACACAATAAAAAATTTACCATATTAACTATTTTTAAGAGTGCAGTTCAGTAGTGTTAAGTATATTCACATTATTGTACAACCAGTCTCCAGAACTTTTTCCTCCTGCAAAAGTGAAACTGTGTATCCACTAAATAATAACTCCCCATTCCCTTCTCCCCAGACCCCTGGCAGTCGCCATTCTACTTTTGTCTCTATGAATTTGACTACTCTAGGTATCCCATAAAAGTGGAATACACAATGTTTATCTTCTGTGACCGGCCTGTTTCACTGAGCATAATGAACTCAAGGCTCATCCATGTTGTAGCATGTGTCTGAATTTCCTTCCTTTTTAAGGCTGAATAATATTCCATTGTATGTATATAACGCATTGTGTTTAGCCATTCATCTGTTGATGGACACTTGCGTTGCTTCCACGTTTTAGCTGTCGTGAATGATGTCACAATGAATGTGGGTATACAGATATCTCTTTGAGACCCTGCTTTCAGGTCTTTTGGATATACAACTAGAAGTTGGATTGCTGGATCATATAGTAATTCTATTTTTAATTTTTTGCCATATGTTTTCCACAAGGGCTGCACCATTTTACATTCCCACCAACAGCGCACAAGGCTCCCATTTTCTCCACATCTTTGCCATCGCTTGTTATTTTCTGGTTTTTTGATAGTAGTCATCTTGATGGTGTGAGGTGGTATCTCATTGTGGTTTGGAAGCTGCTGCTTCTTTTGAAATAGGAGGGAAGGAGGGGAATGAGTGGAGAAGCAGAACTATTTTGAAGTCACTAAGAGGATACTGAGATAGCTCATAGCTGATCTCCATTTTGTCAGCTATTTTGGTGGCAAGGGCACAATCTCAGAGAGGAGGCAATGGAGAAGGTAGGTGCTCCTGAGGACCGGCAGGTGTTAAAATGGGAGCCTGTAGGGACGTGACAGGTGAATCAGCCAGGGGCGATTATAGAGATAACTGAGCAGTTGTGCGGTTCCCTCTGAGGTTAGGGGGCTTGAATACATAATGGACCCAATCCTAGATTTGTGACTGTCTTGAGCAGCTAAGTCGGGAAGAAGTCAATAGCCATGGGGGTTGTCGGGAGCACCAGCTGGAAGTCCTTCTCTTGTTTGTGACGGTGGGTGGAGCGCAGGAAATAAGCCTTATTTTCTACGTGTGGCTGGTACGGAAATGGTTATCAGAGCCGGAAGACTAAAGAAATCGTGAGATGAGGGTGTGAGAAGTGTCAGTGGGAACCACTCTTCCTTGCCTTGAGATCAGAAATCAAGAAAAGCCAGGTTTCCCTGTAAGACATGGGGAAGAGTTTGTTTAGGGAGAAGGTTAGCAACACAGAAAATATAGTAGAACGCAGGCACCCCAGAGCAGGGATTCTCAAAGTGTGACACCAGAATCAACGGCATGAGCCTCATCTGGAAACTTGCTCGAAATGCAGATTATCCACTCAACCCCAGAGCTGCTGCATCAGAAACTCTGGGAGTGCGGCCCAGTAACCTGTGGCTGCACAAGGTCTCCAGGTGATTCTGACGCCTGGTTACGTTTGCAGACGTTACCCTAAAGTACAGTAAAGGACCAGTCGAGGGCAGGACGTGGTGAAGTGAAGGACAGAAGGACTAGAACAGACGTATAGTCACGCTGAGTGCTTGAGAGGGGAATGTAGGCGTAAGGGACATCAGGTGGGTGCAACGGCAGCCCACAGAGACACAAAGCACAAGAGGTTGGGAGACTGGTTGGAGGTGGGACAGTGGTGGGGGTGGGTGCAGAGAAGGCTGCTTTATTTGCTGGATTTGGAAGAACGAGTAGAATTAATCAGACACAAAGTTCTGATTGCAGTGACAAAGTGTGAGTGAGAATTCTCAACGTGGACTTCCGAGTCCTGGGCCATTATTAGTTATGACAGCTTGGGCCAGTTATTAACTTGTTTAAGCTCCCATTTTCTCAAAGGAGATCATGTTAACATCTATTTAGACTGCTGCGAGGACTAAATGAAATAATTCAAGTGAAGTGCTGAGCACAGTGCCTGGCATGTAATGAGAGTTGATAAAAGTCAGCTGTTAATTGTTGTTTAGCAGCAACTTCCAGTTTGGTAGGAGAAGGTAATCAGAGAGAAGGTGAAAGCTCTATAAAGGCCCTTCAAACCACACCGTACCTACACAGACATGTTGGACAATTAACGTTCATTGCTAATGAGTCTCTTCCATTTTGTCATGTGCTCAGTAGCTGTTCAGTCGTCTGCACATTCTTCACGTCTGCACCATCATGAAAGTGTTTTCAGATTACAAGCTAGTGGTCAGGGGCTGTGTCTACTGAGGATTCATCTCACTTGGCCTAGAGCCTTTACAAGGCACTTTAGAAATTAGCAAGCTCAGATTTTCCTTGTTCACACAGGGAAACTGAGGCAGGCCCGATGTATGTGTCTTGCCAGACACAGACAGCGGCATAAAAAGGATGAGTAATGTAGCATCTGCTTTCACAGTTAACCTCTCAGCATCCAGGGAGACAGAGACAGGTGCTGACGTCCCGTGGGGCCATGCCTAGTGCAGTGAAAGTTTCCCAAATACGCAGAGGGGCCAGGCCAGGCTCAGATGTGGCCTCCCAGAGCTGCCCACCCTGGGAAGGACCTGTGTGTACAGCTGGATCCCTGCCTCCCTGCTGGGGAAGAGCCTGGCCTCCTGACCTGCCAGGCTGTGGTTTGTTGTGTTTCTAAACAGTATATTCCTCAGCAAGGAGCCTGCTGCCACTCCTGCTCTGCGCTGGAACTTAGGCCCAGAGGTTTACGTTTTTTCCTGCCCTGTCCTTTAATATAATGATTATAACTGAAAAGACAATTTAAGAAGGTTACGTAACAGAACATCTTGCTTCACATTTTAGCACCTCTCCTTCCATGTGTATAGACCATTTTACCTTTCTGCAGTCATGGTACTCCTCAGTCCATATATCTACTTTGGCTCACCCTAATTGCCGGGCACTTGGTACAATCTCTGATCTATAGCATGTGGTCAGCAAAGGATTATTGAACGAAGACTATTTTATAGCATGCTGTTTCCATTTAGCATAATGAGACTATTCCCTATGTTTCTATAGTATGAATAATTGTAATTCTTAATGGTTCCATAATGGTATCGATTAGTAATTTATTAACATTTTCCTTATGTTGGAATTCTGACTGTTTCCTTTGTTATTGCTTTTACTGTTACAGATAATCTTATTATAAAAATTTTCATGCATTTTGTTTAGCTTCTTTGAATTAATTTCAAATACAAAATTCCCAAGAATGGAATTACTACATTAAGGAGGTTTGGACTTTATGATTCGATCATTATTTCTTAAGGAGCCAGCACTTCCTGATAGGGACGATCTGATTTGCGCCCTGTCTACAGTACCTATTCACGTATCTACTTCTACAGTGTGTCCAAGTCAACGACGAGGCCATCCCCAGGAGCCCCCAACTCTTTGAAGAGCCTAAAGCCACGGCCCAGTAGGTGGCACGGAGGAGATCTTTGGGTTTCTGAGTAATAAAACAGATGAACAGAAACGACACCTTTCCCCCAGGTGCTGAAACAAAGCCTCAAACCACGGCTCCACTCAGAGCCGAGTCTCTGAGAGGCAGCATAGCTCCGGCCGTTCTCGCTTTGACGCTGGCAGAGACTTGGAGAGCTCGAATCCTACAGGAGGCCTGTGTTAGCTTTTATTGCTCCTCTAACAAGTTACCACGAATTTGGTAGCTTAAAATGATGCAAATTATCTTACACTTCTGCAGAAGTTGGACACGGGTCTCACTGGGCTAAAACCAAGATGTCCACAGGGCTGCATTCTTTTCTGCAGACTCCAGGGAAAATCTATTTTCTTTCATTTTTCCAGCTTCTAGAGGCTGCCCACATTCCTTGGTTCCTTGGCCTCCTTTCTCCATCTTCAAAGCCAACAACATCAAATCTCGCTCAGACTCTTCTCCTGTTGTCATCTCTTTCTCTCTGACCCTAGCCTGGAAAGGTTCTCTGCTTTTTTTTTTTTTTGGTGTGGAAGATTGGCAACAGACATGTCAACCTTCCTCTTTTTATTTGATGAAGATTGTTCCTGAGGTAACATCTGTGGTAATCTTCCTCTCTTTTGTATGTGGGACGCTGCCACAGCATGGCATTATGAGCAGTGTGTGGGTCTGCACCTAGAATCTGAACCCAAGAACCCTGAGCCGCCAAAGCCGAGTGCACGAACTTAACCACTGTGCCACGGGGCTGGCCCCAGGTTCTCAGCTTTCAAAGGGCTAATGTGATTAGATTGGACTCACCTGGATAACCCAAGATACTCTCCCCATCTCAAGGTACTTAACTTTAATCACATAGAGTCAGGTCGCTTTGGCCATGCAAGTTCATCCAGTCACAGGTTCTGGGGATTAAGATGTGGAAATTTGGGGAGGGGGGGATTATTCTGCCTACAACAAGATCTAAAATGGAAGTATATTTTTTAATTAAAAATGTGTATATTGACAGAATCTAATATTTTCATTCACTTGTATAATGAATTACTAAATTGGGTGAACCAAGTGCAAAAGCCCATCTGAGCTTGGAGAACTCTTCATTATCCAGTCGTGTTCAGAGGAAATCTTCTGGGATGCCATGTAGACGATCCATCTCCTCTGCCACCGAGGCCAAGTCTTCGTCTCTGGCCCCTTGATACTGCCCATCTCCCTCCTGTCCAGGTCCAGGCTCTGCACCGCCGCCTGCCCTACTGGAAGGTGGAGCCGGGGCTGCGTTGTGGCACAACCGGCAAAGAGAGGGGGCAGAAAGCAGGAGCAGGCAGCCGGTGCCTTGAGAGGCTGCTGAGGACGCCCTGTTACAGAGGTTCCTTTGGCAAGAACAGCATTTTCTTCCGTGGTGGTCCTTATTCCTTGCCTTCCCAAGCTGCTGGATTTTTCCCTCCTGAATATTGTGTTTAAGAAAAGTTCCCCTGGAGAGGCTCTCTGATGAATGACCCTGCCAGCAGGTGGGGTGTGTGTGTGTGTGTGTGTGTTTTGGAACTGCAAGACTAGACTGAGTTTTTTTTTTTTTCATTTGTGACTAACACGAACGGAAATGCAAAGGAGAGTATAGAAGGACATTCAACTGTCTTTCCAGAAAGCCTGGAAGGTGAAGGTGTGGGCTGAGAGAGCCCACTGAATTCAGGGATACAGATCTGACGTCAACATGGGCAGCACATGAACTTCTTTTGGGATCCTAGGATGGGTTCTGGGCCTGGGATTTAGGACCTACCCATTACAGCTGACTCTCAATCTCAGCTCTTCACGAATTGTGAAGGATGTTGGTACCAGATCCTTTTTCAAGCCCTACAACGAGGCTTTGGACTCACCACTAGATGGCACCCGAGCTGTGGCTCTCACGGCAGTGCAGCAAGGCGGGCCAGAAACTTGTCCCTCTGAGGTACCTCTGTCACTCGACTGGACAGGGTCGCTCAGAGTTCCGCCTGTTAAGACGCAGCCACCCTTGCCCCTGGTTTTGCTGAATTCCATCGTGGTATCCACCAGGACTAAGGTTGGCAGTTTTTGCTCTATTCTCTGGATCCAATCGTAGGTGGAAAACGGTCCTTTTGTTCCTCGGACTCCTGAAAGAAGAAGTGTATCTTCCCAATGAGAACCAATTTGTTTTGTAATTGCATTTTGTTTATTTCTTTATAGGTGACATGGAGGCAGACTGACTTGGGTTTGAGTTTTGGCTCTCATTTTCTGGGCCGTCCTTTCTGGGCCTCAGTCTTCTTCTAAAATGAAACTCATCATCCATGCCTGAGGGGGCGTTGAAGCGTGAAATGCAAGGATGGTGGAACATGCCCAGCACAGCACCTGGCGCTTAGTAGGCTCTTTGTCTCACTGCTTCTCCCTTTGGAGCAGGGGCTCCCTTCCACTCACCTCTACACCTTCTCAGCCATCACAGTGCCTGGCGTGTGGACAGTCTTCGTACATGTTTTGAACAAATGAACAAACCAGCTCACAGAGCTACTCACCTTGATTTTAATTGACTGATCGCCTAATGAAATACCAAGTTTTGTTGGGGATTCAGAAGATTATATCATGACATCCCACAACTAGAAGGACCTGCAACTAAGATATACAACTATGTACCGGGGAGGTTTGGGAAATAAAGCAGAAAAAAAAAAAATCAAACAGAAGATTATATCATGAAACTCCTCCCACAGGTTCTAACAATCTGATTGGAGGAGACAAGATTAATCAACACATTTAAGAGTGAACACAGAAGCTAACAAATGAAAATGATTAAACATGTATGGCACAGACTGTTCATAATTAAGTTCACAGTTCCTCCAACAGAGCTCAGTTCTCAAATTCTGACACTCACAGTGTTAGTTTACATCTGTGTTGTTTGTTGACAGTCGGCTGTTCGTCAGATCCTGGGCGTTCCGATGGGAAGGAGAGCACTCACCTTGCAGCAGGGACCTTGTGTCTAGACGGCAGGGCTGGGTGGGAATCTAGCAGGCATCAGAAGAGCGCAGGGCCCGGGGGATGGGATGGAGGTGCCTGGAGACAGGAAAAAAAGGAGTCAAGGAAGGGAAGCGAGAGCAGACTGAAACAACATTCAGCCACTGCACCATTTGGCTGTTGATTTCTTCCTCCCTCCGAGTGTGAATAAAGTCACAGGACCTAAATCCGGGAGCCACCTTAAAAGCGTCTGGCTGGGAGGCTTTATGTAACAGCTCACGAGGCATTCAAATCACTGCTCACACACTTTTAGGGACAGGGCAGAAAGCCCTTCGCTACCGCTACCTCGGCAGAGAGCCCGCGTCTTCATTAGACTGTTCTAATTGTAATGATTAGCTCAAAACCTGCCTCTAGCTTCTCCACGTAGCTGCCGGTTCTGCTCGAGAGCCACGTGGATAACGTTTCCTCCCGCTTCCAGAGGTCAGTTCTTCACGTTGCAAAGAGCTGCTCTCAATCGCATCTTCCTTAACTCTTTCTCTCAAAACTTCGCCACTACCTTCAGACGTTTTCAAACGACTCTTTGCCTCTCCTGGACCACAGACTCGCCGGAGGTCAGCGAGTGAGCAATCACGGGGACGCCGTCCGGCGCCCGGGCTTCCCCGCTACGCCACGATGCAGCGCTAGGTGGCGCTCTGGACAAGGCCTCATCCTGGTGCTCCAGGTATCCAGGGCTGACACGAAGATTGCCCGCTCCCCGCAGAAGTTGCCAGTGCCAACGCCAGCATGCCTCATATCCCTGTTTTCCCCAGTGACCCGCCAGAATTCCAAATCCCAGTCTCATCAGTGACTCAGCATCACCCTGACCCTCATCCCCGTCCTGCACCTGATGTGGACGACCGATGTTTTGCCTGTCCAGTACCCTGTCGGCATTCTCCTCATGATAGACAGCACCACAACTTGCCTTTGAAGAACCATTCCCCTTCTTGCCAGCATGTGGTTCTGGTGGATTCCGCCCACCGGAGGTGGGCAGTGGACCCAGGCCTGGCCACCTAGAGATGCGCCTGCATTAACCACAGTGGATGGTTCAGACTGGGATTTCACTGCTGTGATAAGGGAAGAGGCAGGTGCCGAAGACCATGTGCAGCTGGAGCTGATGGGCAGCCATCCGCCGCTGTGGGCAGAGGCTGTCTGAGAAGGTAGCAACACAGAGGAGAGGGAGCAGAGCCTGAAGGAGAGCACCCTCAGGACATGGTTTGAGAGGGGAGCAGAGCCTGAAGGAGAGCACCCCGAGGACATGGTTTGAGAGGGGAGCAGAGCCTGAAGGAGAGCACCCCGAGGACATGGTTTGAGAGGGGAGCAGAGCCTGAAGGAGAGCACCCTCAGGACATAGTTTGAGGGTCTGATGCATCCAAGACTGAAGCTAGCATCCCCCCTGTATTTCCAGGTATATGAGCAAATAAATTCTCTTTTTTCTTTTGCTGAACCTAGTTTGAGTTGGATTTCTGACATTTGAAACTGAAAAGTCCTAATATAATCCCTAACCTGACCGCCCTCCCGTCCTCGGGGGGACATTTAATTGTGCCCTCATGGAACACGTGCTGAGCGATCAGCACATTCTCCAGTATTCTCACCTCTTCCCTGAACTCATCACCCGCCTCCTTTCATTAACTGAAATCTGGCGCCCCCTTCAGGACACTAGTTCCCCCGCAGTGTTCTCAGAATGGCAGTCCCTTTTTCTCCTCACCTTGGGGTACCTCCGGGCCATGAAGTGGGTAGGGGCCCTCCTTGCTCTCTATTGCGATTTTAAAACCACTTCCCTTAACTTCTACTTCAAACTCTCAGCTTGTTTCAAGCTTGGTGTCCGCCTGTCCTAACAGCTCTACCTAACAATCTGCCAGTCACTGCGGCACACTCACTGACCACTTTGGCTCTAGGCCCATTGACTTTCTCTCTGGTCCCTGCCTAGCCATGTTCTCAGCAACTTCAACATCCACATGAACGATTCTTCCAGCACATGAGTCTCCATCACCTCAGCCACCTTGGACGGTAACCACAACACATCCAAAATCTCAAATTCATATTCCCACCTTCCATCAGCTCTTTTCCTCACAGCTCACTTACTCTAGCATCCCCAATGCAAAAATCCTGTGACTTTGAGGCTGCCAATTCGTGTGATCCCCATATTCTGGATCCTATAGTCCATCATTATACTCATGCCCCCCAAAATACTCTAAATTCCTTTGTATGTCTTTTCTTCCATTATATTTACCATGCTGTATTTCTATATTGATGACTTATTTATGTTGGGAACTGTGTTTCCCAAAATCCCTTACTCTGAATGGTTCATGGTTAGAGTTAGCCAAAAGTGAAGCTGTGCAAGATTTGGGAGGCAAAGTGAAACAGCAGCCGTCACACTCTGAAGCTTGTCGTTGGTTCGAGGCAGACGTAGAAGAGCCAGAGGTGCCAGCTTGTGCTTAGTCTTCCCCTCACTGGGTCACTCTTCCCAACTGCTGGCCCTGCTGACCAACAGTGACCCCAGGCCCCCACCCAGACAATTTGAGGTGAACACACAGAGGCAGTAGCTACGGAGAACCAACACCCATCCATGGACCTCTACACCAGCTCCCTCTGTGGTCCTACTGCAGCAGCTGGATGTGACTAGCTCCCAGAATTCCTGCAAATGCCCACTTGTTCACCACTGCCAGGACTGGTTAGTGGCTTTTCTCTGGTCCTTTCAGCTCCAAACTTGGACTTTTATTTCCCCAGCTCCTCCCATGATTGTGTAAGGTCTAATTACTATAATAAGCTCCTTATTCCACAATGCTTATTCAGCTCAATCCCAATGACCCACTTTCTTTGAGCTTGCCCCAGAGAGGCTGAATATTTCTGGAGAAAACACACACTCCTACTGACTGGTTACATTTTAATTTATGACTACATAGTCATCTGACTTTGTCCAGAATCCTTTCCCTCTTGTTTGGGTAATGATATCATAATTTTGCAGGATGAAGTATCCATCTCTCACTGAACAGTCTTGGTGAGACTTTCAATCAAATCACTGTTCTTTGTCTCAATCTGGCCAATCAGATGCTCTCTCCTTGGAATTTGGATGTGGAGGGGTTGAATTCATTCATCGAAAGAGCTGCATTCTACCGCTGTCCTTGAGTTCCTGCTTTTGAGATCTCTGGTGCTAGGCTAGTCCCTGGTACTCTGGTCCTTCAGCTTTTCCTATGACCATGTGAACTCTCTCCATTCTTCCCATATATTTGTTGCTTAACTTAGCCAGAGCCAATGTGTGAGGCTTGCACAAACCTCAAATGGCAGAGTGCTACTCTGCCCAGCAATCCGTTACATTTCTCCATCAATATGGACTCTCACTTTCCAAGGCAATTATTTCATGTCTTTCCTCTCTTTTAAACCTGATTTCTGCCCCATCCAACTTCAGTCTCAAACTTCATTAAGAAACGGAAGCAGTTAACATCTTCCTATCAGCAAGTCTACAAACCTACTGGCAGGTGAACTCCTAGTTTCTGTTTTATTTCCCGTCACAATGCTTCCCCTGCGAGCTTTCTAAGTCTCCCTGCTCCTATCGCAAGCCAGGTCCTCCACCTGTGCTCTGGATCCATCTCCACTCGCCATCTCAAAGGTCATGCGGCTGCATTTATGCATCCCCCTCTCTCCTGACCATCACCCTCCCTTCCTCTGCTGGATCCTTGCCATCGGCACACAGTTGTGTGCTAACACCTTCCATCTTTTGAAATACATCCTTCCTTGACTCTATATCCTCCACTAGCCACTATCCCATTCTCTGCTCTCTGTTCACAGAAAAACTTCAGCGAAGGATTGTTTCTACTTTCTCACTTTCCACTGTTTCTTCAACCCACTCCACCTGGGCTTCCATTCTCACTACTCCAACCATAGCCCCCCTCGTGTTATGGTAACAAATGACTTCCATCTTGCCAAATTCTTCTGTGTTCTCATCTCCCTTGTGTTCTCAGCAGCACTCAACACAATCAACCTTTCCTTCCTTTTCTAAGTTTCCTCTGTTTCTGTGACGGCCCCCAATTCTTGATTTTCCTCTGCTTCACTAATTGCTCTGGAGATTATAGCCAACTTGCCACCATTCCCCCTTTATTTCTTTCATACTATAAGAATCTTGCTTATGTTTTTCATATACTAGCTTGTTTTCTCTTTCTTCCTGTATTCACATCAGAATGTAAAGTTCCTTGGGACAGGAATTTAGTTTTTGTTGTCTGTACTATTCAACTGGCACATAGTAGGTACTCAATAAATGTCTTCTGAAAGGTAAACAGGACATTTCTCTCTGTTTCCCAGGGCTTTGATCATTCCAGTTGCTTTTCTCTTGGTACACTCAAGCTAGTCAGTATCCCTCTAAAACTCCGGCCCCGCTGCAGCCCAGATGAGCATATTGCCTTGGACCCTGACAAAGATTCTCTCCTTGACCTAATGCTAGTTGGGCTCCTCCGAACTCTCTTCTCAACTAGGCACTGGCTCTTGGGCTTCTGTGTTCATCTCCGCTTAGTCTAGATTTAGCAAGAATTCTGCTGGGTCAGTTTAGCAAACGTCACCCACCCTTGATTTCTGAGCAAATTCCTATCCCCCCAACACTCAATATCTTACTATCCTGGCCTACCTTCAGCAAGAATCCTGTCAAGTTGGTTTAGCCAGAATCTTCCTTATCCTTGATGTTTCCTCTTAGTAATTTTCCATCCACTGACCCTGCTCCTTGGCTATAAATCTCCACTTGTCCTTGTTGTAGTCAGAGTTGAGCCCAATCTCTCTCCTGCTACAAAACCACATTGTAGTAGTCCCCCCTTGAATAAAGCCTGCCTTATCATCTTTAACAAGTATCGGGAATTTTTTTTTTTTTTTTTTTTTTGGTGAGGAAGATTGGCCCTGAGCTAACATCTGTTGTCAATCCTCCTCTTTCTGCTTGAGGAAGATTCTCACTGAGCTGACATCTTGCCAACCTTCCTCTATTTCATATGTGGGATGCTGCCACAGCACGGCTTCATGAGTAGTGTGTAGGCCTGTGCCCAGGATCTGAACCCACAAACCCTAGGCTGCCGAAGTGGAGCATATGAACTTAACCCTACACCACTGGGCCAGCCCCTCATGAAATTTTTTTAAACAACCCTCCAGTTCTATTAATACAGTCCAGAATCACTGTAGCTTTTTGGCATCTGTGTCCAAGGCCGTCTCACTGAAGTGCATGTAAACGCTGCTCCCGGAGCTGTGTGACTCGGTGGCTCCCCGTGTTACACTCTGACCAGCACAGAGTGGAGGCAGCTAACTGTGCGGCCAAACATTTTTTAGCAGACATGCTATCTGGTCAGTTTTCCTCCTTTCTGTGTTCAGTTCCTTTTTTTTCCCTCTCTTCTTTTACAGACTGGCATCTGAACTAACATCTGTTGCCAGTCTTCCTTTTTCCCCTTTTTCTTCTTCTCCCCAAAGCCCCCCCGGTACTTAGTTGTCTATTCTAGTTGTGAGTGCCTCTGGTTGTGCTGAGTATAGTTTCTCTTTCTTTCCTTTTTTTAAAAAAAGTTTTGGATAGAAACTAAATCTTCATACTTCTTGCTAATAGGAAGAGTTTGGGTCCATCCTTTAGGTCCACTGAGTTTGTAATCTTGCTTTGGTCACTCAGCATATTAGTTATATTAGCTCTATGTTTTCAGAAGCCCACTTTATCCAGCTTCATCGAAATGCCAGACAGGATAGAGTCAAGGATAGAGACCCGTGACACATCAATAGAGACCTTCCCTCAGGCTAATAATGAATAAAGGATCAACCCTCTCTAGGCTTCCTTTAACATATTATCATCTTAGGCACACTTAGCTCTCAAAATACTCAAAAGAACAATAATTTTATTTTTAGAATAAAAACAAATTTAATCATGTGTGAAATTTAATCACGTGGGACCCAACACCTTAGGTTTAAGTTCTTATCTTTGATACTTGCAAGATTTCTGAACTTGTACAAGCCACTCTAAATTCTCTGTAGTGCGCATGCCTTGTCCGTGGACGGAGGATATGAGTGATTTTGAACCCAGCGGCAGGGTGCTGAATGAGTGATCTCTTGAGGCACTTGAGTGCTTGAGCTCATAATTCTGTGACTCCCGCTAAGATAGGGTCCTCCTCACGAATGTGGTGACCTTTGAGCAACTACTTTAGTGTCATTTATAACAGTGAAGCACTGGGGGGAAATTCCCATAATCACCAATAAAATATAAATTATGAATACATACAAGGGGCTATTTCACGGTAACTAAAAATCATGTTTTTGAAGGATTCTTAAGGATGTGGAGAAACAGGTGAAAATAAGTGAAAAATACAATTTTTATATATAAAACAATACCAGAACAATATGGAAGAAAGTATATGAAAGTGTCAAAGTGGTTATTTTTGGATGGTAGGATTATTATTTTTTCCATTCATTTTACTTACTTCTATGTTTTAACATTTTTATATGAGTATATGTTACACGTACTGTAAGAAAAAATTGGAAAACATTTTGAGATACTTAACATATGCATAAAAAGCCTTTAAATGTTCATGCCCTTTAATAATATGAATTCCATTAGGGGGATTTAGTCTAAGGAAATAATTCGAGTTACAGAATATGCTGCATACAAAGATGTTAATGCGCTGCTATTTATAATAGTGTAAAATTGGAAACAGTCTAACAATGCAGGAATGATTCGACAGGAACACATCATCTGATTAAAATCAAAGGCAGACTTTTGAAATCGTGTATATAAAGTCTACAATAACAAAACTTGTTAATGAAGTAATGTTAAAGTGAGAAAGAATAAAATCATATTTTGATTACAACTATATTGTTTTTTAAAAAGTAAAAAATAATGCACTGAAAAGAATGGGGAATACAGAAAGGCAATTGTTTCAGGTGGGGAGACTCAGGTAATTGTAAATGTTATTATGACTCTTCCACGCTTTTCAAATATAAGCATTTATTATTTGTGTAAATAGAAAAAAATGTACAGTCATTTAAAAATAAAAAGTACCTGCTCTATGGGAGGAGACTGATGGGGTGAGCTTATCTCTTTCTGGGGAGGCTCCTGGGGTTGGGTGGAGACAGGACCGATAAACTCCTGTCCTTGTTCGAGGGCCCCAGGGCCCCACCCCCAGAGCAGGGCCTCCCCCCAGTCACTCATGTTCAGGTGGAACACACTCCCTCCCGGCAGGACGCAGCCTGAGCCCTGAAAGTCCAGCCCAGGATGTGGGTCTCTCCCGTGGCTGCTTGAAATCCCCAGAGAGACAGGAAGGGGGCCTTCTACCCACTCCTTCTGCCCCAGCCCGACCAGAAAAATCCCCTTGTTCTGCCACCTTCTTTCCTCCTCCTTCCCAATGGGGCACTTTTGATAGCAATGCTGCTGCTGCTGCTGCTGATGGATGACAATAGTTTACTGAGTTCCTATGACACACCAGTCATATTACATAGAGTACTTAGTCACTCCTCACAATATAAGGTCTGTACACTCCGTATCAAATATGTATGGTTTTCCTCATTTTACAGATCAGGAAGCTGAGATTAGAGAGATTGAACCATTTCCTCAAGATCCACAGCTAGTAAATGGCAGATCCAATCAACCATGCCCAGTCCATGGCTTAACCACTGTCCTGATGCCGTCAAATGCCCAGCCCTGCTCGAGGTCATACTGTCTCCCCTTCCTCCTGCAGATGTCACCCCATCATTTAAACTGGCTCTGGCTTTCTTTTATTGCATCCTTATCTGGTCATCTGCCCCCCCATCTCCCTGAGACCTGTGCAGCAATTTCAGTAGCCTCTGTGTGTACACACACACATCATAATTTCCCATTACCCAACTGAATGGCATTTATATGATAAAACTGAACTACACAGATAAAAGTCTTAAGACTCTAGTGCACAGCCAAAATACAAACTCCCAAATTGTTCCATATGTTTGTCACTGTCTGTGTGGGTGTCCCATTGTGGGGCTGGATGTGCCTGACTTTCTCTGGACCAGCCTACAGTGTCAGCAGAGGGTCTGGCATATCATGTGGACTCAGTGAAAGTTTTCTGAATAAGTGAATGAACAAAGACAGAACAAATGAGTGTTTTAATGACATCACAGTCTTATATTTCAGTCTCTTCATCTGTGAAACGGATTTGACTATGTTCTCTCCCACAGGACTGAGAGCGGCTGAAGGGTGGGGAATGGATCATATTCACTGTTGCATCTTTAGCACCCAGCGCATGGCCTGGCAGACAGGATGTACTCTGTCAAGGTCAGTTGGCGACAGCGCATTCCCCTGGACTCCTAGTGGGGGTCTGAGAACAGGCGAAGCAAGGCCTATAACACGCCCTGCACATTCCCTAGAGAAGGACATGTTGCTGTTAAACGGCTGAAATGGAGTGCGGGGTCTGCTGCCCTACGGCAGAGTCCGCGTGCAAATCATGGGCCTGAGTCCACAGGAAGTGGTCCCTGCTGAGAGCGGGAAGCAGTCACTGTCCTGGGGTAGGCCCAGGCCAGGCCCTCAGGGAGCTGCAAAGAAAACCAGGTTCCTCCACTGCCCCGAACCTCTGACTTGGGCTTCAAGACTCCATAAAACTCTGTCAGACCCAGACCCAGCTTCCTTGCAGAACTGCTCCCTGAACCACCCTGGCCGTCCATTGCCATGTACTGAGCACCGGCCTTCGGTCAGGACCTGACTGAACGGCTGCAGCTTTTCAGGCAAGGGCCCCTGTCATTGCTTTGTACACGGGTCTCTAGTTAAGGAAACCCAGGGGGGGAAAATGGCCCCACAGGAGAGGTTCCCCCACAGCCACCGACAGGATTCCCTGCCTGGGAATCTGCAGCTCTGAATATTCTTTCAAACAGCCTTTCTTTCTAGCTCTTTGTCCTCCTGCCTCTTCTCATTTTCTCTCTCCTTCCTCTCTTCCCCATCTTCTTTATCCACCACAGAACCAACATACAGTCAACTCTCAAACCGCACTTTCAAATGCAAGACTGGACAATGTCCCTTCTCTACCTGCCCTCTCTTCCTGTCCTGCAGCCTCTGCCTCTCCCACCTCCACACACACATGCACCTCCCCTTCTGCCACCCTCGCCACCATGCCAACACAGCAGCTTCAAGAAGCTAGTGGAGTCAGTACCTTATTTTGCTCCGGGGTCCAGGGAATCCTGAAGGCTGAGGGCCCTCCAGGTGGGAATGGGGCCTCTGCACCGAGTGCAGGCCCTTGGGATAACTCAGCGGCCTGGTGGCCAGCACAGGACCAAGTCCCCAGTGGTGTCACCGTCTGCTTCTGAGCGGGGCAGTCTCCACAAGGCCTGCTCTGATTCAGCGGAAAAGCTTGATGTCTGTCAGGTCAGAGGGTTTCAGGTTCCAGCCAAGCCTACGGCGGTTTAATTCAGAAGGGCTGCAGCACTGGTGGAGACTGGAGGGCACACAACGTCTCCAAAAGCAGCTTGGCAGGGTGTGGGGGGTCCCCAGCTCTATCATCTGAGGCACAGCTGAAAACTCCCCTCCCAGCTTCAAAGCTCCCTAAACAAACTGCGGAGGGACAGCTGGCACTAACAGGATCCTACAGGCACACAGCATCTCACAGTTCACCAGGCACCTTTACAGACAAGTGTCTCGCTGGAACCTACCACACAGGGGACTAGAAAGACAGTTATTCCCATTTCATAGATGAGGAAACTGAGTCCCAGAAAAGAAACACAGCTTGAACAAGGCCATGGTATAGGGGGAACTCAAACCCACGTCCTCCGATTCCAGAGCCCATTTCCTTCCTCTGACTGCTCCCCTCTTTATTCCGCCTCCATTAAGTCAGTACATACCTCTGGTTTGGTCATTATCTCACTACTTAATGATCAGTTAACACTTTTGCAGGGATGAGCAAGGTTCATGGAGAACACAATCACACTGCGATGATTTGCAGAATTGACACCTGGGAGCGGGCCCTACTCAGGAGCTAGAAGAACCACACACACGTCAAACTTCAGCTGTTACCAGGGCCACACTGCTGGAAACTGAGCTAACCTAAGCTTTACTGCCTATGGTTTTTTTTTTTCTTCTTTTTTTGAGGAAGATTAGCCCTGAGCTAACATCTGCTGCCAATCCTCTTTGTTTTTGCTGAGGAAGCCTGGCCCTGAGCTAACATCCGTGCCCATCTTCCTCTACTTTATACGTGGGATGCCTGCCACAGCATGGCTTGCCACACGGTGCCATGTCTGTACCCAGGATCTGAACCAGCCAACCCCGGGCCACCAAAACGGAACGTGCAAACTTAACCACTGCGCCACTGGGCCGGCCCTACTGCCTACGTTATGACCCCAGTGAGATTTCCTCAAAAGTGCTTTGCAAACAATCTCTCTCTCTGCCACCATTTTCTTCCAGGGTGAGGGGAGTTCTGCCCCACAGCTTTGCCAGTATCCCTTCAGTTTTCCCCTACCAGAGGGGCCCCAGCAGCACACTCTGCCCCTCTTGTCTCCATGGTCCAGCTGGCCCTCCAGGTGCCTCGATTCTCCTGAGCGTTCTGCCAGAGCTGGCAGCGAGTCACAGGACCTGGGGGTGCTTCATTCCCCCCACTCCCCTCACCTTCTCCACCAGACTCACCGCAACTTCCTGCAATCTTAGGCTGCTCCTCCAGCTCAGGAGCGTCGGCCAGGAGCTGGTTTCCCTGTGCTTTACCCCGGCTTTCCATGGCATCCTCATTGTTTCTCTGCCTCCCCTAGGGACCTTGCACTCGTCCCTACCTAATCACAACAATAAGAATTAAAACAAAAATAAGCCAGTACCTATTGAGTGTATCAGGCTTATTAAATCTTATTGAATCCTCAAACTATGTGGATGTCATCTCCATCTTATGGTAGTTGAAGAAATAGAGGCTTAGAGAAGTCAAGAAACGTGTCCAAGCTCTCCCAGCTGGCTAGTGGCTGCCCAGAGCCCCCACTCGCACTTGCCCATGTGGCCTGCTTCACAGTCTGGAACACTCGACATCTTCTCCCCAAACAAAATCCACCAGCCCTTTGTCCCTTCAATCAGTCCTCCCCATCAACAAGTGTCCCCAGAACCCCACTATGGGCCTGGGCACCTGGAGGGATTCAAAACACAAGCAAGCTATCGGCCCTGCTCCTGAGTTGCTGAGACAAGACAAAGATACACAGTAATTCACACACGACCCCTGTGTGACCTCTGCCAAGTCACTTCCCTTCCCTGGGCCTCAGTTTCCTTATCTGTAAAATGAGGGGGTTGTACTAGAAGATTGCAAGTACAAAATCCTACTTATCTATGATCAACCGAGCACATCCCACTTAATGAGAAGGTGGGGACACTGAGGCCCCAGGATTAGGACCGTCGCAGAAAACAGCTGGAGCAAAGCCAGGAAAGAAAACCATGCGATCTGACCCTTAGAAGGAAACTGGTTTCCTTCTCAGAAGAGGACTACCCCGATAATGAGCCCAGAGCGGGGCGGGCAGGGAGGGGCTCCTCTCCTGCTCAGTCCTTCTGTAGCTGACGAAGCCCAGAGAGCTTCCTGCTGGGGGTTTCCCCTTAGTTCTCGGGCGCTTAAGGAAAAGTAAGCTGGATGCCTCTGATCCTTTCACTTCCAGGGTCCTGCAGGGACCTGAGAGCAGGAAGGCTCCAAAGGAGCCATTTTGAAGCCATTTTCCTTAGAAACAAGAATCCGTGTTTGAGTTTGGAGTTGGGACTGAAATGAGACGCCCCGGGGCCCGGAGGTGCAGGGTTGCGCTGGGCTGGGAGGCTGCCTTCGCTTCGCGGCGCCCGGCACGCGTGCACCCGGCCCGCGCGCCTCCAGAAGCACGTGCTTGCGTTGGGCACGCAGGAAAGGGACGAGGCCGAGAGATCTAGGGCTCCTTGTTTACAGTATTTTGTGGAAAGTCCTTTTCTCGGTTGTGTTGCCTGTTTTCCATGCTGACGCGGAAGCACCTTTTGAGGCGGGATGAGAATGCCGCCCCTCCAGACCGCGTCTCCTGACAGCCGCTGTGCCGCCGCCTCGGGTTCGTGGAGGACGTGGCCTCCTCGACACTGCGCAAACGCCACCTCCACTTGCATGCTATTGTTATGGGTACATAATTAGAGCCACAGGGGATAGTCTCCACTCTGTCTTCCTCGGGTGGGGATGCTGAAACTCAAAGAACTGACTGCTTAAATCATCCAGCGGGAAGTCCAGGGGGAGGTGAGCTCCCATGGTCCTTCGTATCTTCTGAAGCCCCACAGCCAGTGTGCTCTCACATTCCTTTTCTTTCCTTTTTGTTCATCCCTGTGATCCCTTTATACCCTTGGCCGTTCTCTACATGAACGTAACTCACCCCTCCAACTAACGGTGTGGACGCCCATTGCTTTCTGTTCCCTAAACCTGGCTGTCAGTTTAGGAGAAAATTGATGAGACGGTGGGCTGAAATTACCTTGTCTATTATAACCACATACATTTACACTTGTGAACTCTTTTTACTTTTAGAAATTAAAGAAAAATCACAGGATCGTTTCACCCCTGCGGGGGAGTGGGGTAGGAAGGGGAAGCAGGCCTTAGGGAGCTCCGCTGCCACCTCGACGCCCCTCTGCCGGGCACTCTCCCCACCGCAGCCCCTTGCGCCTCAGGGACGGCCCTGCCTCGGAGGCATGGGGACTCCCGGAGGAGGCAAGCAAGTTGCTCAGGGTCACTCGGGTCATAAGTCAGAATCAGGATTTCAAAGCAGGTCCATCTGTTCCCAGCTACCCTCCTGCGGCGGTGGCAGACTGAGACTCAGGCTCAGGGCTCCGCACTGCCAATCCAGCCCCGTCTTCAGGACCAGGCATGAGCCCACGGCGTGAAGTTTGTCTTTGCTCCAGTAAATCTGCACTAGTAAATGCACAGTATAAATAAGATTGGATGAGTAGTGTGGAAGGCTGAATGACGGCCCTCCCCGAAACACCCAAATCCTGATCCCTGGAACCTGTGAGTGTACTTTGTATGGTAATAGGGACTTGCAGGTGTGAGAAGTGAAGGCGCTTGAGAGGAGATTAGCCTGGATTATCCAGGTGGGCCCTAAACATAATCCCAAAGGTTCTTAAAGAGGTAGGCAAGAAGGTAGAGGAGGATTCGGAGCTGTGAGGGTGGCACAAGAGGGTTTTGCTGGGGGAGGAAGGGGTCAGGAGACACAGGAACGCAGGCAACCTCCAGAAGCTACAAAAGACAGGGAGATGCTCACCCAAACGCCTCTGGAAGAAGCATCCAGGCAGACACCCTGATTTCTGGCCAGCGAGACTGATTTCAGACTTCTGGCCTCCTGAACTCCGGTCAGAGGGCACATTCATCTTGTTTTAAGCCTCCAATGTGTGGTAATTTGTTAGCGCAGTCACAGGAAACCGATACAAAGACTATTTACCTACTGCAGAGAATAAAGCATTTTTGTTACAAAAATGTATCCTTTTTAATGTAAATGATCTACAGTAATTCATTGTAGGCAGAAGACATGATTGCTTCTCTTGGCTGGCTCTTGGATATTTGAATTAAAAATCATTTTAAGTTACTTGATAAAGCCCAAACTGTACGAGGCCAGGCTTGGCAAGGCCTAATTTTATATTGGAGATATGGAACTTTTGTTTATGTATTTGAAAGTAAGTTTTAAAATCTCTTTACTAATTCAGACAGACCTCCCCTCGATGTATCTAGGCGGGCAGTGTCCTTGGCACAGTGGACACAAAGACTGATATACTTAGCAAGGAGAGAGAACTAGCTAGTTCATAGCTATTACCTTTGGGTTCACTTCCATTCTGGTGAAGAAGTATTTGTTCAGTTATATATTTCTGTCTTGAATGGAGATGTCTACATGGAAACGTATCTTTTTTGGCCCATATTATAATTTATCAGCTTCATATGCATGTTATAAATAGCTTGTAATTCTAAATCTTATAACAAGGCAAGCATACCAACCATTAGCTTTGGGACCAGATGTGTAAATAGAAAGAAAATTCATAGTTTGCTATGATTCTTCTCCCGGAAGAGCCAGCATGTGGATTTGAGCCTCGTAACATGTCTTGGATGTGTTTGTGCTTTTTGTGTAATTGTTATTCACAAAGATGATGTTTATTACACATATTATCTTGCTGGAGTTATCACCGACTACACAAATTACTGTTTGCAATAATGATTGTTTTGACTGTAATCATGTTGCTGATGAACATGGGTTTGAAGAATATGATACAAAAATCTAATTGGCATGGGCCAAGGTGCAAGTCCCGGCTATCGTCAGGGACGGATTCTCCTGCTTCCAAGAGCAGCTGCGGACGTGTTCACCGGGGCTCATTGAACAGCGGGTTA